TAAATAACGACCTAGAGATAATAGAGGACTGGGGTAACAAAAACCTTGTACAGTTCAACGCGCAGAAAACCCAAGCAGCTCTGTTTTCAAAAAAGACCAGCACCGGTGAGCCAAACATCATGCTATCTGGAAGTGCTGTCACATTACAGAGTCAGTTGAACATCTTGGGGGTTACTGCAGAGACCAACATGTCTTGGCACAGTCACGTGGCAGATATTGCTAAAAGGGCCTCCCAAAAGCTGGGGGTGCTATTTTGTACAAGACATCTGTACACACCAAGCCAATTGCTGACACTCTACAAAGCCCAGATTCGACCAACTATGGAGTACTGCTCACATATATGGAGTGCAGCACCCAAACATACCTTAATGCTTTTGAATACCGTGCAAAAACGAGCTATCAAGCTGATCAATGACCCCGCACTTACTCGTAACTTGGATGGTCTCGAACATCGCAGATCTGTGGGCGATTTATCTCTCTTCTACAGGTACTATCACGGAAAATGCTCTGAAGAGTTGGCACGTATGATTCCACCGAGAGTAGCACCTACCAGGCGAACCCGTCAAACAGACGGTAACCATGAATTTACTGTCAAACTAGAGGCACCAAGAACCTCATTATATCAGAATTCATATCTCTGGAGAACAGCATCGCTGTGGAATAAACTCCCTGCGACGGTTTTCCCTGCAGGTTACAACCTGAACCGTTTCAAGACCAACATACACCGACATTTCCGCGCACTTGCCGCTTCTCGAGCGTGATAGGACATTTCCTTGCGAGTGCGCATATCCGTAAAAAAAAAAAAAAAAAAAAAAAACTGTGCCAAATTTGTCAAATTTGTTTATTTGTCTGTTTGTCTTATATAAATAACTGTTAAACTTTTTAAAACTTATTTGATTGTTTCAAAGTGATGTAATATAGATCTAGATTTGAGTGTTTTATTATTTTAAATTTTTTTGTAATATTGATGTACTGATTGATATATATTTTTTTGACTTGTGTAAGCACTATGTTTGTGTAATAGCATCAATAAAGAATTTGAATTTGAATTTGAAATATTTCGCCCCTGTAAAACGGCCTTTAAAACCCGAGCTTTTGAACTATTGATATAGGCGAAGTTTAGGGGTTGATTTGAAAGGTGTGAAGCTGGTGTGAAGGATGTAATTCACTTTGATTGATTATTGCTGTCACATGTAATTAACACTATCCACACTGTGGTTCACACAATAAAAAGAAATTCATAAAAGTATTGTCCTTAATTTGAAGAAGTCAATAAGAGAATTTAAACGGAAAAGCGACTTGAAGAATCACTAACTGATACACTTGGATATTTATCCTTTTAAATGTAACACTCGCAAAGCCAAATTTAAACGAAAACATGACTTGAAAAATCACCAACTGATACACTCGAATATTTTTTATTCTTTCGAATGTGACACTTGCAAAGCGAAATTCAAACGAAAAATCGAATTGAAAGGACACAAACTGATACACTCGGATATTTTTTCTTTTGAATGTGACACTTGCAAAACAAAATTCAAACAAGAAGGCGATTTGAAAAAACACAAACTAACGCATTCGAATATTTATTCTTTTGAATGTGCCACTTGTAGAGCAAAATTTAAACGAAAAGACGTTTTGAAGAATCACATATTAAGGCATTCGAATAAAAAAAAAAAATTAAAATGCAACATGTAACGCCGAAGTTAATACTTGTGTAATTTAAAACAACATTCGGCTAAATAAATGTAAGTTTGAATTTAATGCTCTGTATTTTGAATACCCATTTAGGATCCACAATGTGCTGATTATTATTATCAAGGATTTTAATGCGTTTTACATTTTGCGTGTTGGGAAGGTAGTTGGATAGAACCCGAGCTTTTGAACTATTAGGCAATTCAATCCATCTGTCAGATAGGAAAATTCAATATGACGTGGCGGCCAAGCAAGTTTGTTTTGATTGTGTTTTTATGCGCATTTCAAATTATTTTGCTTAGAGTTTTGCTTGCAACTTTGATTTGGATTATTTAATAAAATATTTGTTGACTAGGTACCTAAACTAATAAATCGGGCAGAATCTAGAAATTTTTTTGTGTTTCTTGGCCCATGTGTGGCCGCCACGCCATCTTGAAAGTCACGTGGTTTGAATTGCCTAATTGATATAGGTGAAGTTTAGGGGTTAATTTGAAAGGTGCGAAGGATGTAATTGACTTTGATTGATTATTGCTGTCACCTGTAATTAATACAGTCCACACAATAAAAAGAAAATCGTAATAGCTATTTATGTACCAAGGGGATTATGTAGATTATAATGCCCAAAGGCGAAACTAGCCCGAGGGCCTATGGCCCGAGGGATATATTTCGCCTGAAGGGCATTATAATCTTGAAATCCCCGTGGTGCATACAATGCTTTATTTTCTACTCAACACAATGTTTTTTCATCAATTTGTTATTAACAAAATCAGTTAAACTTGTGTGACAGAATATTGTTTTGTATTTTGATATGTACCTGTACCTGTGACCTGTACCTGTACCTGCGACCTGTACATAGAAACGAAATAAATTAATATATCTATAAACATCTCATAAGGCAAGGCAACGGTGGTGGTCCTGTGGGTTAACGCGCTGGACTACATGGGAAACATTGATGGTAGACCGGGTTCGAATCCTGGCTAGACCGAAAATTATTTTCGGTCAGACATTTAGTGGCTGCCTAGGGTAAAGTGCAAATTAATAGAACAACAACAACAAAAACACCTTAAGGTATTATAAGCGGGCGTTATAGATCATAACGCCCGCAAAAGCGGGCGTTATGGATCAGGTTGTTATAGGTGTGTTAACGTATTTCGTTTCCTAGGTATTATGGATCTATAATAGTAAAGTAGAAAATAAAAGTATTGTCCTTAATTTGAAGAAGTCAATAAGAGAAAATAATGCCAATTGACCTGTCTCGCATAAATAGAAAAAGATAGCTTAATTGTAATAAATACAAGTTAGAAAGTAATGAAAGATGACATGCGCGCGCAACTCGTAGGTACAGTGTAGCTAGATTGTATTGTTCCAAAACAAATAGAACATTATAACATTAATGAAGTGATATAGTGTCAAGTGTTCTACAACGCCTTAAATCAGACAAAAGAAGAGCTTAAAAAGTGTATGTCGTTTGCACTTTTATTTTGATAAATGTTTCATCCGGCAACATCGCACAATGAAATGGCAGCAAATATCCAGTTAAGTTCTAAAATTCTGTAGAGAGCGCGAGTGGACTTGGAGTGCTTCAAATTTTGGCGGTAAATGTCACTAGTTTTATACCGCTTAAATTGAGTAGAAGGAAAGATGACTACATATGAAGAATGGAAGAAATTACAGTGAATGCAAGAAAGGGGTAGTTTTCGATGCAATTTACAACATCCTCGCACATTAGCCAAGTCGGTGCTCGCTTAATTTTCAAGCAAAAAATTCGAACAAAAAAGCATTGGAGAGTGCATTTTATTAGCAATAATGTCGTGTTTGAAAAATTGAAATCGGATTATGTATTTAGCCGCTGCTGCATCAAACGCGCGCAAACAGGTAAAACGTTGATTCAGTGACCTTGAATAAAAACATGCTAGTATTCAAGACGCTGCAGAAAGAAAACTATAGAAGATAGAAGGGTGCTGTCGCTGAGTTTTTTATAGCAAAAAACTTCAGCTACAACATTCATTTGAAACTTTTTGTTATTGGCCCATCCCTTTGAGCAGCGTTTTCCATAAACCGCAAATTACCCCTAAAAACCACCCCTAACTAAAAACCCTATGGAAGTACAAGGTCGCAAACTTAATATGTTATTAAGCACATGAAAATGAACTGATCCCCCCCAAAAAATGTTAACTTCTAATTATGTTCAGGTAAAATTCCTTCATTGCTTGGCCTATTATTTTATCACAACTATTATGATTTTTAAATATTATTGTATTATTAATGTACTTAGATAGAAGTTTTACCATTTCTTGATTTTTTTCTGCTGAACAAAAGTCCTTATTTGACAATGAAAACTCTTCCAGCATCAACACAAATTAGCACTGTTTGGTTTGCCTTAATAAATCTTTGTTCCATGACTCGCGTTATTTCACTTTTGATTCAATATTCGGTATAAACAACACACGGTATAAACAAAATTGAGTCGGAAATTAAATCGCAAGGAAATCACAGGGAACCAGTCGTTTGTTTACTGGCTTACTTACTCAAAAGTGACGTCATTCGTTCTGAATGGCATTTAACATAATATGGCGGACCTTCGTATTTTGCAGTTTTATTTTATCAAAATAATCATCAATCTGGCTCCTAATAAAAAAATAAATGCGTGTTTCGTATTCCATGAGTCAAGCTTCATCAAATGGAAACACAATTTAAGTGATTTTCAATTATTGTCATCTTGCCTATTCTTCAATAAGAATGAGAAGAAACCAAATTCGTAAATAATGTTGCGTTAACAGTTGTTTTAATTTTAAACTCGCCAAATTTCTATGAGGGGAACAGAGTAGCTCATGAAAAGTGAAAACTGTCATTGGGGCCTGCATAAACCCGTAAACCAAACCCTACTGCAAGCAACCTCGAGATTTAGTATTCTGGTTTTCAAAAACGTTCACCGCTTTCCAGTCGCTCGGCACTTTTAATGTAAATATTGACAGTTGAAAATTGATTTTTTGCAACTTTGACAGGCTCTAAAACCTAAACCGTTAATTTTAGAGGAAACCCGATTTTACATTCCTATCTTAGATTTTTATAAACTATCATTTGATGTACTAATTCAATGCGATTATAAACTTAAACAGCGCAAAAACAGCTGAACCAGATATCAACATTTATGGTATATTTGGAATCAGAAGACAAAAATCTATCATTCTAGCGAAATATATACAGGGTGTCTGATTTTTAAAGAAATATAATTATTTTGTTTTTTTTTTAACTTTCTGCAACACACAAGCAGATCCATAAGGTCAGCAACAGAAAGCCACATACTTTTGTATACAAATTATATTTCTCAAATCCTAAAAAAATGATGTAACATAAAAATTACTCATAAAAGACGAATAATTCTACAAATAAAATTTTAAAAAAAGTGTGAGAAGAAATGGTCAAAACTTAAATAATTAATATCTAAAAATCTGGTAATATAAAAGTACAAAGTAAAAAAAAAAAAATCGTTCAACATAGTTTTGCCTAAAAGGGAAGTTTTACATACAGGGTGTCCCAGCTAAAACGAAACAGAGGAGTTTTTGCGTATTTAGAATTATTTAAATGAAAACACTCGGACACGTCGATTTTTGCATGAAAGGGGACAACTTTCAGATTCATCTTTATTGACCTACCTGTCATCCCTTAGCGGGGGCGCGTTCAACCCCTAAAAATTAAATAGGGAAAGTGGGTCGACTGACCCCTCAAATGAAAGCTCTTTAAATTCTCTTTTCAACGGTACCACATTTATTGACATTTATGTCAAAAAATTTGACAATGACGCGTCCCACCCAAAACGAAACAAGGCAATTTAAAGGCATTTCTCGTTTTTAAAAGCAAAAAAACGGCTAACACATGAAATTTGTGTTCGACTGGAAATTAATCTGTGAATATTTTTCAACCCCTAAGTTGAAACCCCACGCAGCGGTGACATCCACCCTTAATGACTCAAATGGAATGAGGGGATTAAAGGCACCTCATTTGTAAGCTTATTACTGCTTCTTTTCAACGCTGTCTAGTTTCAAGAATATCTTTGAAATTTTCGTGGAAAATTATGAAAAAATCTCTTCTCTGAAAAAATTCTATCAAAGACTTCTAATAAACAAAATAACATTGAAGATAACAGAAAAAATGTAAACAAGTTTCTACTAATATGGGGATATCTGTTTACTGCATGGGCAGTAGATATCTTTTAATAAATCTCTTTAAGTAGATTTATTTTGCTCGTATTCAGTGTAGGGCCTTTTGTTTAAAGTAACATTAAATATCAGCAATGGTTTATTCTACTGCCGAGAAGGTTGAAATAATTGAATTGTTGTTTGGACATAACTCATGTGCCAATAGAATAGCAGAGTTATTTAATGTTCATCGTCCATCCAATTAGTAGCAAAATTTAGAGAAACTGGAAGTGTTCTTAGAAAGTAGCATGTCCGACCTGCTGTAGTTAACGATGAAGTTACGCAAGTAGCAGTTCTGGGTCAACTCCATGCCAGACCAGGAATGAGTGTCGGACAATTGGCAGCAGGCACAGGAGTAAGTAGAAGTAGTGCTCACAGAATTTTAAAGTTACACAAATTTTATCCTTACAATTTTCACCTGGCGCAAGAATTAAACGAAGATGATTACGATAGACGAATACAATTCTGTGAAGAACTAAGCGAAATGCTTATAGCTAATCCTCTTCTTCTTGACAACATTTGCTTTTCGGATGAGTGTACATTTTTACTCAACGGAACCGTAAATCGTCACAACTGTCGCTACTGGGCTGATGAAAATCCTAAACACCTGCGTGAGGTTCATATTCAGTACCCTAAAAAATTAAATGTGTGGGCTGGAATCTTTGGCGACTCCCTTGTTGGTCCGTTTTTTCTAAATGGAAATTTAGATGGAGAAATGTATCAGACTCTTTTGGGAGACGCCATAAATCCTAGAATAACAGAGATTATCGAGAATGGAAATCACTATGACAAAAATCAAGTCGTTTTTCAACAAGATGGAGCTCCTCCGCATTATGCTGCACTGGTTCTAGAATATTAATTTAGTAACAATAGAGCTCCACATTAGTAAAAACTTGTTTACATTTTTTCTGTTATCTTCGATGTTATTTTGTTTATTAGAGGTCTTTAATAGAATTTTTTTAGAGTTTTATTTTTTCATAATTTTCCACGAAAATTTCAAAGATATTCCTGAAATGAGACAGCGGTGAAAAGAAGCAGTAATAAGCTTACAAATGAGGTGCCTTTCATCTCCTCATTCCATATGAGACTTTAAGGGTGGATCTCACCGCTGCGTGGGGTTTCAACTTAGGGGTTGAATAATATTCGCAGAATAATTTCCAGTCGAACACAAATTTCACGTGTTAGCCGTTTTTTTGCTTTTAAAACGAGAAATGCCTTTAAATTGCCTTGTTTCGTTTTGGGTGGGACGCGTCATTGTCAAATTTTTTGACATAAATGTCAATAAATGTGGTACCGTTGAAAAGAGAATTTAAAGAGCTTTCATTTGAGGGGTCAGCCGACCCACTTTCCCTATTTAATTTTTAGGGGTTGAACGCGCCCCCGCTAAGGGATGACAGGTAGGTCATTAAAAAGGAATTAGAAAGTTGTCCCCTTTCATGCAAAAATCGACGTGTCCGAGTGTTTTTCATTTAAATAATTCTAAATATGCAGAAACTCCTCTGTTTCGTTTTAGCTGGGACACCCTGTACCTGAATACCCAGTCTCAAAACGATTTACAGAAAATAGAGAAAAAGTTGGACCTTGACCAATAATTTAAAAGTTTTCCTTGAGAATTTGCAAAAAATGATTTTATTTGCCAAGAAATCTGTGATGGTTTGTGTGACAAAGTTAATTAAAGAAAAAATAAAAATCAGTTGATAAATACGAATCTTACAGTTTATCTGTTTAACACTTTAATATTCTTATCAATAAATACCACATGATGTTTAAAAACATTTGATCCATAACATTTTTGGGGATTTCAAGACACCCAAATTGGCCTAAGTTGGCAAATTTGTCTGAGATGAAATAACATTTTGTGAAACCTTTCCCAATTAGCCTTTGTTTCTCTAAATTCTTATAGAGGATAAAAAATAATTATTGAAATGTAATAGTATGTTCACTTTTCTCAAATTAACTAACAATTAAGGTCATTTATACACCACTGTTAGCATAATATGTTATCTCCTACAGCACAAAAGACGATAAAAAAAAAAAAAAACATTTTTGTCTGCATTTCCATGATCTACTTTCAGTGGCATAACATGGTAACAAGCCGAAAGTGGTGCTAATGAGATTTAAAATTACAACAAAAAAAATTAAATAACATAACAAATTAAAAATGTGATTAAAATTCTCACAGATGGCAATTCTGAAGATTATCCCAAATTTGTTTAAGAAATATTAATAAACTCGGATATTTTCCTGGTTGGTTTTCCTGCATCAGCAGATAACTTTTTGAACTTGGAAATCTTTGGCTTTTTCATTACTTGTGATGGATATAAATCTTGTTGGCTGGATCCGCCCAAGCCATCGTAACTAAAGTTAACTCGTTTGTATTTTGTTACACTTTCTACAGGTTCTTGAGAAGATTTTGATGAAGGTACTGATTTGAATATGGTGAACTAAGGAATTAATATAAAAATTAAAAGATTTTTTGAATAATTTGGTGACAATCCTTACCTTATTGGCATCTGGTTTTTCGGCACATCTTTTTGCTCTCTGCATTGCAAACAACCCCATGGATGATGGAGCTAGAGGAGAATCTTGACCGAGGTCTTGACATAAATCTATCAGATCATCTTTTTTATTGCAATCCTATAAATAAATCAAAATTATTTATCAAAACTGTGATTAGCTAGATCAGTGTTGTCAACCGTACTATAATTATAGTATTTTTGTACTATAATTGAATGGTTATGTACTATGTACTATCAAAGGTCATTATAGTACGCCTAAAATACTATAATTATGCATTATCAAATTATTTAGTTTTTTACTGGAAAATAAATCCAAAAAAATAGACAAAAAAATGCACGCTCATCAGTGGGGTACGAGATGAGGTCATCAGCGTCAGCACTTCATCCACTTCGTGAACGCAACGCAACCATCCCTGCCCAGTTCTTCCAATTCTTTATTCCAACGCAAAATGCAAGAGAAAATTCACTTTTTCGAAATTGGTTCAAAATAGGTTTGAAACGGGCAATGGTGTTTCCACTGACTGTTTCAAACTGGTTTTGAGCCAATGTAAAAAAAGTGGACGCAAGAAAACGGCTTAGATGTTTTTTAAGTGTTTCAATTCAAATTAAAAATACTATACCACTGTGAATGGAGCATTATAACCATGGATAGTTAGTAGTTGTGCTCTTTTTTTTTACCTAGGTTGGCATGCAAACCGTTATTCTAATTTTCCTAAACCTATTTTCTTGGCGTGCAAGCCCTTATCCTGATTCCTTATTCTAGTTCTCCTTACCCAATTTTAAATCCTAATTTGTTGGCTGCAAGCCCTTAATCTATTCACTTCTTAATCCTAATTTGTTGCCTAATCCTACTCTCTATTAACAACAGGTCCTAATTCTATTGGTTTCCTAATGTGTTGGCGTGCAAACCCTTATGTCTAGTCACTTGTGGTTGTGTGTGATTTTCCTAAGCGGGTCCTTTTTTTTATACCAAGAAAGATGTTATCGAACGCACCCCTATTTAATTTTTAAAATTATTTTTAATTTTGTTGTTTTTCGCGGGAAAAATAAATTTGAAATTTTAGTGTGATGCGCCCCTGACTTTTCTCTTTTTCTCCAGAAAATGTCATAATTTTTCCTTGAATAGTTTTCCAGAAAAAAAAATAAAATGTTAAATGGTGCATTTATGCCTAATTTAGTTGATTTTCATTAATTTCCAGTGGGTATATTTTCCACTGGAAAAATTTGAAATTTTACTAAGATACATCCCTGACTTTCCTCTTTTTTTCCAGGAAATGTCATAATTTTCCCCTGAATAGTTTTCCAGAAGGAAAATAAAATGTTGGATGGTGCATTTATGCCTAATTTAGTTGATTTTCTTTGGATATATTTTCCACTGGAAAAATCTGAAATTTTACTATGATACGCCCCTGATTTTCTTCTTTTTTTTCAGAAAATGTCATAATTTTCCCTTGAATAGTTTTCCAGAAAAAAAATAAAAAGTTAGATTGTGCATTTATGCCTGATTTAGTTGATTTTCATTAATTTCAAATGGGGTTATTTTTCACTCAAACAATCTGAAATTTTACTATGATACGCCCCTGATCTTCTTCTTTTTTTCCAAAAAATGTCATAATTTTCCCTTGAATAGTTTTCCAGAAAAAAAATAAAATGTAAGATGGTGTATTTATGCCTAATTTAGTTGATATTCATTAATTTTCAATGGGGTTATTTTCCACTGGAAAAATTTGAAATTTTACTATGATACGCCCCTGACTTTCCTCTTTTTTTCCAAAAAAGTCATAATTTTCTCCTGGGCAGTTTTCCAGGAAAAAAATAAAATGTTGGATGGTGCATATATGTCGAATTTAATTGATTTTCATTAATTTCCAATGGGGTTATTTTTCACTGGAAAAATTTGAAATTTTAGCATGATACACCCCTGACTTTTCTCGTTTCGTCCAGAAAATTTCATAATTTTTCTTTGGATTGTTTTCCAAAAAAAAAATTAAATGTTAGATGGTGCATTTATGTCTAATTTAATTGATTTTCATTGATTTCCAATGGGGTTATTTTTCACTGGAAAATTTTGAAATTTTAGTATGATACGCCCATGACTTTTATTTTTTTTTCCAAAAAATTTCATAATTTTTCTTTGGATAATTTTCCAGAAAAAAAAAAAATGTTTAGTTGATTTTCATTAATTTCCAATGGGGTTATTTTCCACTGGAAAAATTTGAAATTTTACTATGATACGTCCCTGACTTTCCTATTTTTTTCCAGAAAATGTCATAATTTTCCTCTAAATAGTTTTCCAGAAGAAAAATAAAATGTCGAATGGCACATTTATGCCTAATTTAGTCGATTTTCATTAATTTCCAATGGGGTTATTTTCCACTAGCAAAATCTGAAATTTTACTATGATACGCCCCTGATTTTCTTCTTTTTTTCCAGAAAATGTCATAATTTTCCCTTAACCTTCCAGCGAGCGCGCTGTCGCAAAATTTACGACAAATACGCATTATCGCTTCCCCCACTCTATCCACTTAGCGCGCGCATCGAGCTTTGAGCTATTCCATGGTCAGTATCTCTCTAAACTACAGACGTATCGGGTGTTCTCAGAAGTTTTTGTAACTCAGTGATATTTGGGAGTTTCCGTGAAGCGTAAATTTTACGACACGCGCCTTAGTGTAAGTATATTAGATAACTTACTTTTTCCTATATTTTTTTCTCGTTTCTTTTATAGCTAAATGTATGTTTTTCTTTTACACGTATTCCATTATGGCTCGTAGGCTGTTTACACAAAAAGAAGTAGAAGGAATTGCTGAAGATTTATATGATGAGCCAGAGCAAGATTACCACTTACATTCCATGTGGGAGTTGTTTTATTCAAGAAAGTCAAATATATGTTTTCAAAAGTACTGTTATTTTCGTTTTTGATAACCTTTCATCAATTCTCCAGTATTTATAAAAAGAAAACACTATTTACATGGAGAAAAAATGGTGACGTAAAATTTACGACAAGCGCCCGCTCAAATGAAATGACACAGCCAGTATTGCCAACTTTATGAATAGCCATTTTACCAGATTATAAAACTTGGAATACCAGAATATTACTAGATTTTTCTCAATCCTGCCAATACCAGAATATTACTAGGTCTTTGTTGCTAAACAAAAATTGTGCTAAAATTTTTAGATTTCAATTGTTTATTTTAATTTTTTTTTTTTGTTTTTCTCGTTAGGTTTAAAATAAAAATGCAATAACAGTATCAAGTATGGAAAAATAAAACTTATTCAGATTAAATAACACTGCATGCATACCTAATGTATACACAGGATACCTTTAAACAAATACATTATTGTAAAAAAAAATCCATTCTGTATAACATAACATTACAGATATTGGTAAACATGCTTAGGCCCGGTTTGTTCATCTTCAGATAAGCTCCTTGGTAACTATCTGCAAGATAAGTGCTAACTATAAGTGCACCGTTCTATAATTCTATTGGTCGGCGGATAACTGGCCAACCAATGGGATAACATATTTCGTTTATATATGGGTCAGATTGCATACCTGACAGTTTATCAGAAGGTGAATAAACCGGCCCTAATAGAGGTATATTGGTAAGCTTTGGCATAACTATTTAAGACTAGTCTCCATAGACGCAAAATAGCAATTTATTTTTTGCGGATTTCTTTCCTATTGCTTCAAATTTCACATTCAAATGTCCAATGTCAAATTCCAACATGTGAAAATGTCACTTTAGGCGTTGATTATCGTTAAAGCTCCCTCAAAATGGACGGTGCAAACGACCACAAATTCAAGAAAAATAGATTATTGATTGCTAATGCGAAAATACCAGAATTTTGCTGGAATGAAATGTCAAATTACCAGAAATATTACTAGATATATTTTGAAAATCTTCATTACTAAAACCGGGGTCGATATTACCAGATCTGGTAATTATTTTACCAAGTTGGCAACACTGGACACAGCGCGCCCGCTGGAAGGTTAATAGTTTTCTAGAAAAAAATAAAATGTTAGTTGGTGCATTTGTGCCTAATTTAGTTGATATTCATTAATTTCCACTGGAAAATTTTGAAATTTCACTATGATACGCCCCTGACTTTCCTCTTTTTTCCAGAAAATGTCATAATTTTCTCCTGAACAGTTTTCCAGGAAAAAAATAAAATGTTAGATGGTGCATTTATGTCTAATTTTATTGATTTTCATTAATTTCCAATGGGGTTATTTTTCACTGGAAAATTTTGAAATTTTAGTATGATATGCCCGCGACTGTTCTTTTTTTTCCAAAAAATTTCATAATTTTTCTTTGGATAGTTTTCCAAAAAATAAATAAAATGTTTAATTGATTTTCATTAATTTCCAATGGGGTTATTTTCCACTGGAAAAATTTGAACTTTTACTATGATACGTCCCTGACTTTCCTATTTTTTTCCCGAAAATGTCATAATTTTCCCCTGAAGAGTTTTCCAGAAAAAAAATAAAATATTAGATGGTGCATTTATGCCTAATTTAGTTGATTTTCATCAATTTCCAATGGGGTTATTTTCCACTGAAAAAATCTGAAATTTTACTATGATACGCCCCTGATTTTCTTCTTTTTTATATACACATATATCTATTTATTTATTTTTTATCGAACTATTATTATTAATTTTTAACCTTTTGTATTTGTATTTCGTTTACATATTTCTTTTTTTTTATATACATATTTATTATTTACCGAAATGATGGTGTATTTATGCCTAATTTAGTTGATATTCATTAATTTCCAATGGGGTTATTTTCCACTGGAAAAATTTGAAATTTTACTATGATACGCCCCTGACTTTCCTCTTTTTTTCCAGAAAATGTCATAATTTTCTCCTGGACAGTTTTCCAGGAAATAAATGAAATATTAGATGGTGCATTTATGCCTAATTTAGTTGATTTTCATTAATTTCCAATGCGGTTATTTTCCACTGGAAAAATTTGAAATTTTACACTGGAAAAATTTGAAATTTCACTATGATACGTCCCTGAGTTTCCTATTTTTTTCAAGAAAATGTCATAGTTTTCCAGAAGAAAAATAAAATCTTGAATGGTGCATTTATGCCTAAATTAGTTGATTTTCATTAATTTCCAATGGGGTTATTTTTCACTGGAAAAATTTTAAATTTTAGTATTATACGTCCCTGACTTTCCTCTTTTTTCCAGAAAATGTCATAATTATCCTTTGAATAGTTTTCTAGAAGAAAAATACAATGGTGGATGGTGCATTTATGCCTAATTTAGTTGATTTTCATTAATTTCCAATAGGTTTATTGTTTGTTTGTTGTTTGTTTGAAAAATTTGAAATTTTACTATGATACGCCCCTGAGTTTCCTCTTTTTTTCCACAAAATGTCATAGTTTTCTCCTAGACAGTTTTCCAGAAAAAAAAAATAAAATGTTAGATGGTGCGTTTATATCTAATTTAGTTGATTTTCATTTATTTCCAATAGGTTTATTTTCCATTTGAAAAATTTGAAATTTCAGTATGATACGTCCCTGACTTTTCTCTTTTTTTCCAGAAAATGTCATAATTTTCCCCTGAATAGTTTTCCAGAAAAAAAAAAATGTTAATTGGTGCATTTATGCTTAATTTAGTTGATTTTCATTAATTCCCAATAGGTTTATTTTTCATTTGAAAAATTTAACTAAGATACGCACCCGACATTCCTTTTTTTGTTTCTCGAAAATGTCATAACTTTCTCCTGGACAGTTTTCCAGAAAAAAAAATAAAATGTTAGATGGTGCATTTATGTCTAATTTAGTTGATTTTCGTTAATTTCCAATGGGGTTATTTTTCACTGAAAAAATTTAAAATTTTAGTATGATACGCCCCTGAGTTTCCTCTTTTTTTCCAGAAAATGTCATAATTTTCTCCTAGACAGTTTTCCAGAAAAAAAAAAAGTTAGATGGTGCGTTTATATCTAATTTAGTTGATTTTCATTTATTTCCAATAGGTTTATTTTCCATTTGAAAAATTTGAAATTTCAGTATGATACGTCCCTGACTTTCCTCTTTTTTTCCAGAAAATGTCATAATTTTCCCCTGAATAGTTTTCCAGAAAAAAAAAATGTTAATTGGTGCATTTATGCCTAATTTAGTTGATTTTCATTAATTCCCAATAGGTTTATTTTTCAAATTTAAAATTTAACTAAGATACGCACCTGACTTTCCTCTTTTTTTCTAGAAAATGTCATAATTTTCTCCTGGACAGTTTTCCAGAAAAAAAATAAAATGTTAAAATCCGTTTTTTTTTTAAAGATAAAAGTCAAAATGACATTATGTTGGCAATATAATGTAAAAGTGTCAATGCTTTCCATTGCTTTCAAATTTTTTATGTAGAAAAGGCTTGTGTTGCCAACAAAGTTACTAAATTTTTGACTTGGGGAATTATCTTTAAAAAAAAAAAACGAACTTTAGATGGTGCATTTATGTTTAATTTAGTTGATTTTCGTTAATTTCCAATTGGGTTATTTTTCACTGAAAAAATTTAAAATTTTAGTATGATACGCCCCTGACTTTTCTCGTTTTGTCCAGAAAATTCCATAATTTTTCTTTGAATAGTTTTCCAGAAAAAAAATAAAATGTTAGATGGTGCATTCATGCCTAATTTACTTGATTTTCATTAATTTTCAATGGGGTTATTTTCCACTGGAAAAATTTGAAATTTTACTATGATACGTCCCTGACTTTCCTCGTTTTGTCCTTTGGGTAGTTTTCCAGAAAAAAAAATATATTAAATGGTGCATTTATGACTGATTTAGTTGATTTTTATTAATTTCCAATAGGTTTATTTTTCATTTGAAAAATTTGAAATTTTAGTATGATACGCCCCTGACTTTTCTTGTATTGTCCAGAAAATTTCATAATAGTTCGATCTCTGTGTGTCCCACCGGGACAATAAGTGATCATCTGTCTCCAGCAGGATACTATAATTTGTACAAATGTACTATAATTTCATAGCGTTCTATACTATAATAGTTGATCCGCAGTTGGCAACACTGAGCTAGTTAAAAAAAAGATATAAGTAGTGGGTGTTCTAGAACTTGCATATTCCCAACGGTTAGACGATTATTTAGAATGAATTTTCAATTTCAATTTATTAACAACAAAATTCCAAATATGTAAAAGGTGGACATTTCATCAACAAGTTTTATGATTTTTCGCAAATCAGTTATTTAAATTGACCATTCCCAAATGAATTTGTAAGTCCTAACTAAGTGTCTTCTATCTGAAAACCAATTTTTTATTTTTAGAATATTCAAAAGACGGATCGGCACCAAATGTTCTCAAAAATGTTTCAAGAGACGCGCAATTTAGTCCTCTTCAAGAAAATGATGACGACTTTTCGCTTTCGCCAAAGTATCAATTTTCCGGATGCCTCCGCACACTACAAAATAGGTGAAGGGAAAACGCTGTTTGAACACCCTGTATATTGAAATTTCGAAAATTTAAAACTGTTATTTTCAAGCTCTTTAACCAAAGAACATTTTCTATGAATTTGTCTTATTATTTCAAAGCATTTTTGGATTTTTGGCAAAGAAAATTCACCTACAACATTTGCATTTGAAACCTAATTCCTGTTAATACAACTTATGCAGGATAGTTTATTTTAATATTTTAATAGACAAAACCACACAGGGAAACAAATTCCAAATAAACTTAGACCATTTTTTGGTTTCAAATGCGAATTTGAACCAAAAATATGTCGTTTCTGCATGAAGTAACAACATTATGTCATTTTGACCTTCTACGTTTAATTCTGATACAAGAGTGTATATACTTGCCATTGTGGACGCCGACGCTGAATGTAGTTTTGATCCAGAACATGGTGGCGTCTCACTCAAATCAATAATATCTTCCTGTTGGTCAGAAAGTACTGGCGTTCTATTATAGTTAATCGGACTTTCTGCAATAATTCGCTTTACGCTTTTGTTAAATGAATCATTTACTGGGCCATTCAATGTTTTACTTTTCAGTTGGGAAACTTTGTCTTTCAAAAACGAGATTTCCTTTGCATGACTCACTTGCAAGGTTTCCAATTGTATTCTGCGAAATTGAAAAATTATTAATATGTATTAATTAAAACTGTACGAATGAAAAAACATACTTCATGCTATCATAATTGAATTGTGTTTCTGACATTTTTCTTTTAGTCTGTGATAATTCGCTTTGCGTCTTCCTTAATTCATGTTGCAGCTCTTTCTTTTTCCTATCTGTATCAATTAGTGACCTTAAATTTAATATTTGGTTATCCAAAACTGAATAAAAATTTGGAAAACAAGTAAGTAATACTTTTTTAATGTTGCAGCAAGAAGCGCCAGAGATTCGACATTATTTTCGTTTCTGATAATTTCGTCCACTTGAAGCCTGCTGCCCTCCACAGCTAGTTGTACGTGTTCTAAATCCTTTATCCGGTTTTTGTGCATCTTTACTTCACTTTCTAGTTGAGCACATTTTTTTGCTTCATTTTTGAAATATTTAATTTGGTCTTTCAATGCTGCTATCACAGATTCAAATCTAGGCGTTGCCAATTCTAGCTCCTTAATACTACTCCTAAAAATAGAAATTAGAGTGAAACTTCTCTAACTTGAACGTCTCGTTTCTGTAAATTGAATTTTCTTCACAAACAAATATGTTTATACAATCTTACTATGTATTTTTTTCCCCATAAGTTCAATTTCTAATTTCTATAACTCAAATATTGAGAATTGAGAACAAATGTACATAATCAAGTAATTGAAAAATCCCATTTAAAAATTTTACTTACCTTAAACTTTTATTTTGTTCTTTTAGTTTCTGATTAGTTTTTGCAATCTCGTTAGCGTCACGTTCTTTTAATTTCATACTAAATTCTGCAGCCTCTAGTTTGTACTGTAAAACTGTAGAGTCAGCTTCAGCCCCCTGAGATGCATTCACATTCATGTACAACCGAACCAGTACTTTTGGCGAGGCCTTTGCTCTGCATTGCGGACATGTTTTGGAACTGAAAATATTAATATCATAATCTTGTTACCAGAAAGACCATTCGACCATTGTTATATGATACATCCCCACCTACAGCGTTCACCTTTACAGGTAGATACTAGAAAATAGGTGTAAATACAAAAGTTATTCAGTTTTAGCTAAATTTTTAGAATCCATCATCAGAAACAAAAAATTATTGTCAGAAATTTGAAATTTTGCGTACTTTCAACTTATTTCAAATGGAATGCCCTATATTTGGTTCTATATTTTTGAAGAGCACTATTTTCCGATTCCAGAAATACATAGTTTGTCTATATTTGGATGAGCCGTCTCCAACATATTTGGCTTGTAAAAATATTATTCTAATAACTTAGATTTTTTGAGCCATGCTACCTGTAAAGGTGAAAGCTGCAGGTAAAATTTGAGGCACTTGGTTTTTCTGATAGTTATATTTTTTTTATAAAATATGTGTTCTTCCTGTCTTGCAAAGGTATGCTGGCTGGACTTCACTTTAAAAGGGTTTTGATGTTAAGTCCTCCAACCTGGTTCCAGAGCAAGAGTAATCCTCATGTACAGCCTTATCTGCTACATGGACCTTCAAATCTTGGATAGTTTGTCAATATTGTTTTCTGTCCAAGTCTGATACCCAAGGTGATATCAGAACTCTGCTTCTCAAGTGAAGTGAAATATTTTGATAAATTAACCTTCTCATGCTAACTTTGTTCTTCGTGTAGATTCCGATGTTTGGGTTTTGGCTTTTTTTGATTTTCACTATCTGTCCTAGGTGAATGCATTCGCTAACTTTTTCCAAATGGAAGTTATCAATGGTGACTCTTCCTTCTTCGGCGTTATTTGTCATCATTTTTATTTTCCTCATATTCTACTTCAGCCCCATCTGGATTAGTCAGTCATAAAATATAATTTTTAGAGCCAAATATGTTGGAGAACTCAACCAAATATAGACAACTTGACAACTATATGTATATTTTTGGAATCGGAAATTTGTGCTCTTGATGAATATAGAACCAAATATAGGGCATACCATTTGAACAAAGTTGAAAGTACTTACCTTAAATTTCAAATTTAGGTCAATAATATTTTTGTTTCTGATGATGGATTCTAAAAATTTAGCTAAAACTGCACAAGTTTTGTATTTACACCTACCTGTAAACGTAACGGCTGCAGATGGGGGGTCAAAATAATATAGTGAATAACCCATATCATAACATCATATTGAACGTAGTTCGACGGAAGCATGGACACAACTTCTAGCCACTGTTCAAACTCATGACGTCACAGAGGAACTATGGTTCGTCCTTGGATGAATTACATTCGTTGCGAAAATTCGGTTTTGTATGGCTGAATCTGACAATCAGTATAAGTATAACCATGTTAATGAGAATATTTTTTCAGAATGAAAAATACCTTTTTTCTATTGACGTTTCATAATATGCTGATTAAATAATTAAAATCTGTTCCATAATGAACTTCATTATGATATAGATTTCCATTATGATACAGATTTTTCAGCCACTGGAACCAAGTTATTTTGAACATGAACAATGTTCATATTAAAATAAAAGACTTGTTTTCGAATTTTGGATTGTTTCTATTAGTATTTACCAAAAGAAACAACAAAAAATTAATAAATCGGGTGCGGAATTTATGCCCAAATAACGTCTAGATCTTAATTTTCGAAATTGTCAATATATGGCACTAGTTAGCAACGATTTTATTCTCATTGATGTCAATTCCCTTGACGACTTGTGTGCATTTGTATGTTTGTTTGTGACTACTTGTTGAATACCTCATCACTGCTGGCCAAATAATGAATATTCAGCAAAACAAATACTTGGTGCATTCCTAGAAAGTGTATATAAAAATTCCGAAAAACGAGTGGACTAAAATATGAAGTAGGTATGTTATATCCTGATGTATCATTCTAATCGGAATGAGATATCGTCGGCATCACATGAAAACTGCCCAAGTCCAAAAAGGTAAATTTTACAGGAGGCGCCAAAAACCTTTGTGAAGAAAAACTACATGATACAAATCGTAAAAATCACCGGCAAGAATGCACAGAAGAAATTGGACTTATGCAAGTTTCACTCTGTGCAAATTTCTTTTCATGATTATGTGGCTCCATCTAACAATTTATTGCTCAAATATTTTGTTGGATCATAGATTATTGAGTTTCTCACAAGACTGCACTAAAATCTTAATTTTGAAAAAAATTGGACTTCGGCAATTTTCATATGATGCCGACGATATTCTATCCTATCAAACACATACATATATAATATACAGGGTGTCCCATTTGAAAAAATATAATGTAAGTAGGCTAATATGTCAGAAAATTGATAGTGTTTTGTTCTATATGTAACTTGAAAAAAAAAACTTGATAGTTAAAAATACTAAATAATATAACATATTATCTATTATCAAAAGATAACACAACAACCATCTTTTAAAGGTTCTCATTATTAGCTTCAGGCTTTGGAAACACATACCTACATCCATAGTTGGGCAGAAAACCGTTAATCCGTTAATTAACGAAGTTAAAAAAATTGCTTAATTTTAACTTTTAAGTTAACCTAAAAAATATTAACGGTTTTCTTATCTTCCGTTACATTGGACTTCCGTTAACTTTAGTCTGTTACGTACATAAATGACGTCATTTTGTTTGCTTGAATTGCGCGTCAAGGTCAATCGGAACAGTTCGCACAGGCGTAGAAAGATTTCAGTTTGCTACACTACGCAGTTTGGAACTGTTCTGGAATGACCCCAAACCCGATCCCGTACAGTGAGATTGATACGCAAGCTCTTAGTTCTCTTGTTAAGTAGGCTGTCAGCTGAGGCGTATAGTTGGACTGTGGCGTTGTATGCATTGTTCTATAAGCTCGTTTTGGTTGCAGAGGTGAATGGTAAATAAATCAGCTACCCAAATTGGAAATAGTGCTGATCTAGTTTAGATCTAGATACTTTTTGTTTTATTCACATTTACCTGTGTAGGAGTGTAGGTATAATATTTATAATACCCATTTGGAATAACACCATCTTTGTTCCTCAATCATGAATCAGATGAAACAAAAAATTACCAACCAATCACAAATCACTGAAACGACTGGTACTTCCAAATAGGTATTAAAAATACTATACCCTAGCCTAGCCTATTCTATTTCAATTAACTATTACCTATAATTAGCTTCAAACATCAGTATAACTTTTCAATGATTAACTCTTAACTTAACGGATAACTTTAAATTGGGTTATATTCTCAAAAATTTAACGATTTGCGATTATCAAAGTTAACTTTTCAAGTAGCGAATTAACGATTAACTAACTTTCCGATTAACTGTGCCCACCTTTGCCTACATCCTAGATGTTTAACAGTCAATTACCAAACAACCTGTTTTTAATTTCTAGTTCCAAATTGTTGGGTATTGTTGTACTGGGTACCATAACCATAGTATAGTATGACTTATATTCGAGCTTATATTATAAGTAAAGTTCTACCTTCTACCATTCTATGCTTCTACTTGAGTAGGTACTTACTTTTCAAACCAGTGCAATAAGCAGTGATAATGGAAAATATGACCACATGGTGTTGTATAAATACTAGCACTAGGAGTAAATAAATCACTACATATCACACATGTTATATTCATTGTCTTCAATTTCAATTATACAAGAAAAAAGGTTATTTCCTTTTTATTACTGAGCTGTTAAAAAAAATTCAGGATAGTTTGCTTTAGGTTTTGAAATTTCATGATTATTATTCTATTGAAACACAAGAGCAACACTGTAAACATTCAATTTTCAAAAGTGAACCGCAACGCAAACATAAACAAACATACGGCGGTTGTCATTGTTGTCAATCTCGTGCTGTCAAATTTGGAATATGACAATTCAATGACGTACGACGTACGTTAAGCTAGCTCCTAAAACTACAGTGGCTTAAATAAACCTTTACATACAGTGGCGACACCTAAAACCAGCTCCTAAAAATTAGTACATGTGTTCGGGAACTCAGTCGCTTCGGTGAAGCTGGCTCCTTGGCTGACTGTTGATTATTTTATTGAATATTGTTCCGATTATTTTTGATTATTATAAGGAAAATCGAACTATATAATAGAAAAATTACCATAAAATAAACACAATTTATTTATGAGTTTCATTATTTTAGAGGTTACGTTGAAATAATAATAAAGAATAGGAATGTGCACGTAATCGATGTCGACGTCCAACTTTCTTAAGGCAATTTTCAGCCTAGAATGTTAGGTTATAACCAATGCATTTCCGTCGTCGCGGTTTTAACCAAAGTAGGGGAAGTTGTGATGTCACATATCAGCTTATTTGCTTTTGGTATTTACCACTTATAACCGATTATAACCCAGCTTTGGCACAATGAAAGAAGTATAATACATTCACTCACTCACTGCAATTCACCATGTTTAGATCGAGGTTTAGATTATCCCCAAAGAAAATCTGTTCGATAAACGAGACTAACGAGAGATTCAGCTCCATTTTTTGTACCTAAACAAAAAACTATTGTTAAAACGAAAAAACAAATAAGAATAATAAAAATAACCCTACACTGCTATAACCAAATCATTTCAGCGGTTAATTCCTTGGGTTATGATTCTTGAATGGTGGGGGCTATGACGTCATACTTGGCTGTCAAAGTTGTCAACCAAAAGAATAACCACGGTATTTACCGATAAATAATCATTCCAGGCTGAAAATCGCCTTTAATATGCGGAATTTAAAATTGAAACTTTCGGGATACGTAAAAGGCCACTAGGGCTACTTAAATGGGTTACATACGTAGACTTTATAAGAAAAAAATTAATTTCGATTAAGGGCCTAATTAGGAGCTGAGGCCGTACCGCCCTTATTGGCAGGATTCTTAACATGAAATTTTCAGGGTAGATGGAGGGTCCATAGGGCTACCTAAATCTACCCTCAAACTTGGGTTACATACGCAGGCTTTATGAGAAAAAAATTAATTTCGATTTAGGGCCTAATTAGGAGCTGAGGCCGTACCGCCCTTATTGGCAGGATTCTTGACATGAAATTTTTAGGGTAGATGGAGGGTCCATAGGGCTACCTAAATCTACCCTCAAACTTGGGTTACATACGCAGGCTTTATGAGAAAAAAATTAATTTCGATTTAGGGCCTAATTAGGAGCTGAGGCCGTATCGCCCTTATTGGCAGGATTCTCAACATGAAATTTTTAGGGTAGATGGAGGGTCCATAGGGCTACCTAAATCTACCCTCAAACTTGGGTTACATACGCAGGCTTTATAAGAAAAACATTAATTTCGATTAAGGGCCTAATTAGGAGCTGAGTCCGTACCGCCCTTATTGGCAGGATTCTCAACATGCCATTTTTAGGGTAGATAGAGGGTCCATAAGGGCTACCTAAATCCACCCTCCAACTTGGGTTACATACGCAGGCTTTATGAGAAAAAAATTAATTTTGATTAAGTAAGGGCCTAATTAGGAGCTGAGGCCGTACCGCCCTTATTGGCAGGATTCTGAACATGAAATTTTTAGGGTAGATAGAGGGTCCATAGGGCTACCTAAATCTACCCTCAAACTTGGGTTACATACGCAGGCTTTACGAGAAAAAAATTAATTTAGGTTGTTTTCACGATCTCCGAGTTTCCCGTACATTCTTCCGAATTCCGGCCGGACTTCCCCGGATAATTTTTTTCTTATAAAGCCTGCGTATGTAACCCAAGTTTGAGGGTGGATTTAAGTAGCCCTATGGACCCTCCATCCACCCTAAAAAATTCTGGTTGAGAATCCTGCCGATAAGGGCGGTACGGCCTCGGCTCCTAATTAGGCCTTTAATCAAAATTAATTTTTTTCTTATAAAGCCTGCGTATGTAACCCAATTTGGAGGGTAGATTTAGGTAGCCCTATGGAGCCTCTATCTACCCTAAAAATTTCATGTTGAGAATCCTGCCAATAAGGGCGGTACGGCTTCAGCTCCTAATTAGGCCCTAAGTCGAAATTAATTTTTTTCTCATTAAGCCTGCGTATGTAACCCAAGTTTGAGGGTAGATTTAGGTAGCTCTATAAACCCTCCATCTACCCTAAAAATTTCATGTTAAGAATCCTGCCAATAATGGCGGTACGGCCTCAGCTCCTAATTAGGCCCTAAATCGAAATTAATTTTTTTCTCATTAAGCCTGCGTATGTAACCCAAGTTTGAGGGTAGATTTAGGTAGCTCTATAAACCCTCCATCTACCCTAAAAATTTCATATTAAGAATCCTGCTAATAAGGGCGGTACGGCCTCAACTCCTAATTAGGCCCTAAATCGAAATTAATTTTTTTCTCATAAAGCCTGCGTATGTAACATAAGTTTGAGGGTAGATTTAGGTAGCCCTATGGACCCTCCATCTACCCTAAAAATTTCATGTTGAGAATCCTGCCAATAAGGGTGGTACGGCCTCAGCTCCTAATTAGGCCCTAAATCGAAATTAATTTTTTTCTCATTAAGCCTGCGTATGTAACCCAAGTTTGAGGGTAGATTTAGGTAGCTCTATAAACCCTCCATCTACCCTAAAAATTTCATGTTAAGAATCCTGCTAATAAGGGCGGTACGGCCTCAACTCCTAATTAGGCCCTTAATCGAAATTAATTTTTTTCTCATAAAGCCTGCGTATGTAACATAAGTTTGAGGGTAGATTTAGCCGTGCGTTCGTTATTTTGGTCTGAGTTCTCCGAGCTTGACTTTACCGTTCGTTTATTTAAAAAGTGTACTCGGTGCAGCCTCATTCGCGTTCGTTTATTAAAATTTCCGGTACTTTTATACAGCGTTCAACTGCTCCCTTCGCTCGCTGGTCACGTGATTACGGCTCCGCTCAGCTCGCTCTACACTTTGAGCAAAATACCGAACGCAAGGTAGGTAGCCCTATGGACCCTCCATCTAACCTAAAAATTTCATGTTGAGAATCCTGCCAATAAGGGCGGTACGGCCTCAGCTCCTAATTAGGCCCTAAATCGAAATTAATTTTTTTCTCATAAAGCCTGCGTATGTAACATAAGTTTGAGGGTAGATTTAGGTAGCCCTATGGACCCTCCATCTACCCTAAAAATTTCATGTTGAGAACCCTGCCAATAAGGGCGGTACAGCCTCAGCTCCTAATTAGGCCCTAAATCGAAATTAATTTTTTTCTCATTAAGCCTGCGTATGTAACCCAAGTTTGAGGGTAGATTTAAGTAGCCCTAGTGGCCTTTTACGTATCCCGAAAGTTTCAATTATTCCGCATATTAAGAAAGTTGGACGTCGACATCGATTACGTGCACATTCCTATTCTTTATTATTATTTCAACGTAACCTCTAAAATAATGAAACTCATAAATAAATTGTGTTTATTTTATGGTAATTTTTCTATTATAGGTATAGTTCGATTTTCCTTATAATAATCAAAAATAATCGGAAAAATATTCAATAAAATAATCAACAGTCAGCCAAGGAGCCAGCTTCACAGAAGCGACTGCGTTCCCGAACACATGTACTAATTTTTAGGAGCTTGATTTTAGGAGCTAGCGTGACGTACATAATTCAATGCAGGGGCGCATTCACGATTCGACAACCCGGGTTATACTCTAAACAAGTAAATTTTACCCGGGTAATTTGAGTGACTTAACTGGGTTAAGAACAATGAAGTAGGTTAAGAAACGCCCATAAAGCCAAAACTGACACAATTTTGGCATTAACAGCTTGTTAAAAAAGTCAAATCGTTGATTATTTTGATGCAATACAAGGTGGATTCAAAAATTTGTGGCAATTAGGCAATCTCAATCACGTGATTTTTTAATGGCCGTTCAGGTCAAATATTGCGGTGACAAGCCGGTGACGTTTATAAGGAGAGCATTTGTATTCTAGCCCTTGTTGCTTTCGAAGTGAATTTTATGTGTTTCGACGTATTTTTCATTGGTTTTGGTCATATTGTTGTTTTCATAGTGAATTTTATAGTTTTTGGTATTTCTACGTATTTTTTAGTGTTCTGGACCTTGTTTTCAAAGTGAATTTCATAGTGGTTATAGTGTTTCTACGTATTTTTTAATTTAATAATAAATTCTGAGATGGAGAGTGAATATCTTATGGTATTATTATTAAGGGAAAATCGAGCCTCTGTTATTAATTGCAGTAATCCATAAAGCCCTGCGTTGTTTTGATAATTCATCCCTGTTACCTCGACTTCCACACCTAATTACGATGCAAATCACTGGCATTTTACACAAAATCCGATAATTCAAATCTTGACGTTTGTCCAGAAATGTGACAGAATCAATGACATACAGAATAAACAACACAGTGCTTGACCCGAACTTCCATATTGAATTTCGTTTTTGACAGGTCAGTAGATTGCCTAATTCCAATGGCCGCAACTGTTCAGGGTGTCCGAATTTGGATGGTTTTAATAGGAAACGTCAATTTCTGAGCGAGATACAAAAAAATGAACTCCGAGGCTCAAATTTCTTGAAATTTTGATTGGTGGAAACCGCATTTTGATATCTACAACCGTTTAGCCGCTAGAGGGCGATTTTCGATTTTGAGCAATACTGTGAAATCTTCATAACTTTTTTGTTTATGAAAATAACTGATTTCCGTAAAAACTTCCTAGAAGCACTTTTTCAAGCAGAATTCAGAGACGTTTTCAGTTTTTTTCTATTCGGCCTCGATTTCAAGATATTGACCAAAATACGATTTTTTTCAATGGGACACCCTATATATTAATAGTTCATTAAAAAGCTCTGTTTTTGCTGATTTCAATGATATAAATTTCGATAGGTTTATCTCTGACAGTTTTCGAGAAAATAGCTATTTACCTAACAAGTGCGGAAAATGAATTTTTCCTACGAGCGTGCGCAAA